GTTTATGTTCTTATATATTTAAGTAAAAGACACATCTACTTTGTCCAATGTAGTGCTTCACTCAGTTGCAGATAACTTTTTATTTTTTATGTGTAAAAACGAAATAAACCAGTATGTTTTCTACCAAAATTCCTGATTCTTCTTAGGGTTTATCAGTAATTGGTCATATTTGGTTGACATTTATTTTTTCAAGGTAATTAATATTAATAGGAGTATTATTGAATGTCGAGGTGTTCTGTATAACTGTTTTATGCATGTATGTACATTGGCAGTAGTGTGGAACCATTGTATTTAACATGTAATTAAGACTGAATGAATAATTTTGGCTAGTTTCTGATCAGAATAATATTTCATTCGATACGTCTCATAATAATAATTTACATACGAGTGATTTTAACAGACCGTTAATAAAACATCACGTAATCTAATTCAGCAACAAACAATTTAAATGACATTTCAGTTTTATAGGTTACATCGTTGAAGACTTGACCAGTGAAGTTTAACTAGATAGGTTGTAAAGCACAGTGTATGATAATCTGGTTGAAGCTAGACATGTAAACCATTGGATATTAACCGCCTAGTTCAGAGGTTATACCCTGACTATGAAAGCTTAAAGAATTGTATTCTATTCCGAGTAACTTCATAGGTCTATACTACAGAGGGTTGTCATACAAAGATGAAAAAACTGTCCAAATCTTCATGATAATCAATAGTTATCTAAGCAAAGTGATTCTGTGATGTCAACTTTCAAAACCTATTTATTAGGACAAAAAACATACCAATTTAGAAAGAGTCATTTATATTGTTACATTAATAGTGAATCAGTCATGACAACAGAATATTTCTTCTAATTAAATAATTACATTGTTTGATATCATTTATGTGTTTGTTTTGATTTGGTCACTTTGAGTTATAATCAATGATTTTTATTTTCTACTTTAACATAATGGCAATATGATTGTTTCCGGTGTCAGGTAAGGTTGCATAATCTCACTCTTTCACTTTCTCCTGGTGGTCGACTGGATCATGAAGACGTCAACATTTGAAGTGAAGCATGGGATACAGTTGACAGCTAGGATACAGCTGGACGATATAGACTTCGCAGACGATATGGCTATTCTATCACACAACCAACAACAAATGCAGCGGAAGACGGCCAATGCAGCAGCAACCTCAACAGCAGTAGGTCTCAACACACATAAAGGATAAAACAACATTCACCGATACAAAACATCATGCACCAACCAGAGCACACGACGGAAGAGATTTGGAAGATGTAAAAACATCTACATATTTGGGAAGCATCATTGATGAACACGGTGGATCTGATGCAGATGTGAATGCGCGGATCGGAAAAGCAAGAGCAGCATATCTACAACTGAACAACATCTGCAACTCAAAACAACTCTCAACCATCATTATAGTCAAAATTCTCAATACGAATGAATGTCGAGACAGTTTCGCTGTATGGGGCGGAAACCTACTGAAAACTACGAAAGACATTATCCACAAGATACAGGTGTTTACTAACAGCTGTCTACGCAAAATACTTCGGATCCGTTGACCAGACACTATCAGCAACAACCTACTGTGTGAGAGAATAAACCCGATCCTAACGGGTGAAGAAATCAGAAAAAAGTGCTGGAGTTAGATCGGACACACATTGAGGAAATCATCCAACTATGTCACAAGGAAATCCCTCACATGGAACTCGCAAGGCCAGAGGAGGAGAGGAAAACCAGAGAACACACTACGCCAAGAAATGGAGACAGACATGAGAAGAATTAATCAGAAGTGGATAGAACTAGAAACGAAGGCCCAGAACAGAGTATGTTGGAGAATGCTGGTCGACGGCTTATGCACCATTGGGAGTAACAGTCGTACGTAAGTAAGTAAATTAAAAAATATAATTGTTACGAACATTGATTTTTTTTCGCTGGATTTTAATTAATGCTCGCAAGTTTTCTTTCATAAATTTAAATTACATAACAACCTTAATCAATTGGTATCTTGGTTACTTATCAATCATGTTTGTTTTTTGTGTTTCATCGAAAAAAACACACACAATTTTCATATTTGATTTGTTTTTATATCTGAAAAGAAAGTTGATTGATACATTGAACATTGAATAGTTTTAATTTTTTTGATTTCTAATTTGACATCATTTGTTTATTCTTTAATTGTTTTTTTTAGAAGAAGAAGAAAGTTGAATTAAATTTAAAGAGAAAGAAGTGAACCATAACGAAATTAATTTCAATGATATGTACATATGAGAAGGTTTTAAATGAACTTCAATAATGGATAATAAGACAAAGTTGATTTGGCGGTTTATTTTAACCTGATAAGATTTTAGTAAGAAATAGTTATAATTTATAATTAATTTTTTTTTAATTGAGATCATGAACCGATTGATGTTGGACTATCATTGAAAACCTGGAAGCACTGGGCGACCGTTTCGTCCTATTGTAGGACTCTTCAGAAGTGCGTTTAATCTGTTTGTTAGTAGAAGTCAATTGAACTGAAAATAGTCGATAGAATGGTTAAATGATCTTAGTTTTACGAAAGAAATGAGTCGTTTAGTTGTTTTGTAATGAAAGAGAATATAGGTGGAGATAACCAATTGTATTTTAATATAAAATTACAGAATATGAAAACTATATATTAAATATTTCATTTACAAATTTCCATCATCTACGTTTTACATTCAGTATAATTTTTTTCAATTCATAATTCCTTTTTAATACCGTTCCTGTTTTCTTTAAGTCAACTTTCATAGCCTTCTGTCGTCAGGTTTTTCACTTTCGACTGGTGTTGCATACTACTTATATCAATGGATATAACTAGCATATACCACAGTTTTAGTAAATATTTTAAGCTGAAATTATTTTTCATCTCTAGTTGCATAAAGAGCAAAGTGTTTATTTTAGTGAGAAACAAGAAAAATCACTATTTTCAAGTTGTTCTTTTTAAGGGTGAATGATAACTAATCATGCATATGGACTGTTGACCTTAACCCTCATTGTATGATTGTCAACATACAAAAAACTGTTCAACAAAAGTCGTTTTTCTATAGCCAAGCGATAAACTTACACATAGAATATACTTCATGAGAACTTATATATGTAAATGTCATAAGCAATAATTCTAGTGCTGTACGATTGCATAATGATTTTCTTTTCGAGGTTATTTATGAAATTACAAACAACCTCACAGCGTATGGATTATATAGGATAACCACTTGGCAAATAACACATCATTTAATGTGAATATCACGTTCAGAAAATTTATTTTCTTATGATATTCTGAGGCAGAATACTGTTCCTTTGAAAATGCATTAAATGTTTTAGCACCTGTAAGTGTATCTTATTCCACAAGTGATATTATAGGAACTTTAAATGTTTAACCATTCTTATTAGTGAATTCCCTCATTAAAACCATCTGTCACTTCACGTTAACACCGTCTCCAGCAAGTTTAACTAATTTGAATAACATCAACAGTATATCTTTGTGTCACACTGCTCATGGATTATGGTAGACCTGGTTGACATATTTTGGTAATTATTGCTTTGTTGTTCCGTGCTCTCTGTTTTCGTTTTAATTTCTCTAGTTGTAGATAATTATCATTAATTCAATCTGGCACACGAAATGACCTGAATTACTCCGTTCATAAATCAACGGGCTGTCCATTTAAGAAATATTAAAAATTCCCGGCTGATGCATTGGATCGCTGTAATACATGTACTACCTAAACAACTACTGAACTAGTATACTTAAAACTTTCTTCTATCACATGTTTGTTCTGTACATCTAATGTTACTATTTATATAAAATTGATCATGCGTGTAAACTGGCGTGAATTCTGTAATTATTGTTTTCAGAATATATATTTAATAATAATTATTATTATTATGAAGTATTTAAACAAGCCTTGACGCAAATTGTTCTCAAATTTATTGATTCCAAGTCCATCCACTAGTTATAGACTATACTTTAAAGAAAAACTTCACTTAATATATAATAAGACAAACTACCGATTTGATATGACTTCCCTAATGATTAATATACGTTTGCAACAAATTATTGATCATAAATTATTTTCAATCATCTTTGATCGTATTGTATTAGATTAGAGGATTTCGATGCCCAGCTGTTTCTTTCTTTAATCTTGAATACGTTACAAATGAATGTCATTAATCGGTGTAAATTCGTTTAGAGATGAATCTATGGTAATTCTAAGCTTAGTAAATCAAAGCATATACATATAAACAATGAATTCAATCAAAATGATAATACTTAATACAGCAATTTAAAAGACTACTATATTCTAAATGGGTAATTGGTATAGAATATATCAAATTTAAAATAGATATACAAACATAATATATACGTACTATTACTTGTAGATTACTGCAAAGATAGTTCATTCTCTTTGTTGTATATGTATAAATATACATATATGAAAATCAGAACGATACACTTTTGATGGAAGCCGTTTACATTTTGTCAAAGAAAGATTCATAGATCGATGGAAGCTAGACATTAACGATGTTGGATTCACGTTAAATGGTCTATAGGTTAAGCGTTCGCATGCGAAACAGAAGATCCTGGGTTCGAATCCCGCAGGGGGGATCGTGTATGTGCACTGTTGAGGAATCCCATACTAGCACGAGACGATCGTCGATTGCTTCTAGGTTTTCAATGGTGGTCTATCATCAGTCGATTCATGAACTCAAGCAAAGACTTAACAATCTCCACAAGCCCATACTGATAAAAGAAACATTTCACTATTCATTTTCTTATGAATGACAAAGAACTTTAATCGATTTTTTCCAAAGCATGTAGTTACATTTAAATTTAGCGCTTCAGCTAACTTACACTTATATAAACGAGAAAAGAAAACTAATTAACTAATTGAATCCCAGTCAAATTGTTGAATATAATATTACATTTTTCTTTAAAACATAAAATAAAACATTTCAAGAAGTCCTTCAACTACATACCTTTTGAAGTTTATATAAAACAGGTAGAACTCCAGAAAAGTTTAGATATTTAGATGATCCATCAGAAAGATATTTGTCCGGAATATTTGAATATCTTGCTTTCCAAGCTAATTTACCAAGATGATGAATGTAGTTATGTAATTCATGAACACGATTCCATAGAAACGGTGTTGACGACGACGACGATGATGATGATGATGCTAAGTTATCCAGAGGTGATGTATTGAATAATCTTGACGATGAAGAAGTTACAAAAGATTTCGATTTATCTTTAATATAATTTTCCAACTCTTCATATGTTGGTAATTCTGGTTGTTCACAATTATCCAACTAATAATAATAATAATAATAAGTAGTAGTAGTAAATAAAAACATGAAATAAAATGTTTAAGTAAATAACACGTGAATCAATGTTGACTTTATTTTATTTCACATTGATGATGTAAACACTCATTCTAATCTACATTGATATGATTTATTACTGATAAAATGAACGGGATAATGAAAAGAAACCGATGAAAATTTAGAAGAAAAAGAAAAGATTATTTAATCGTGATTTTCTGTAATTAAGTAAACAGTATACAAAGATATTATTGTAGAGATATGGATCAAACCAGGTGAATGTTTCTATACAATTGACAATCTAGAATAGTTCATAGATCTATTCTTAATTGTAGGTAAAGTTCATTTCATGGAATAATATTATTTACATAGTTTTATATCACTAATTTATGATTTAACAAAAATTCAAATATATTCTATTATTTGTTGTTGTTAGGTGATAGGCTTTTTAAATCACATCTTAAAGAAAAATAAGAAATTTCATACAAATAGTTCCCTTTATTATCTTAAAGAGAGCAAGAATGAAGATTTATTTCGTTAGGTCCTCATCAGCTGCTTACAATCTAAAAAAAAAATCAACGTTATCACAGATATTGACATACTTATACATAAGAGGGTGATTAAGGATAAATAAATGTATCATGGTGTAGCAAAGATTGCGATAGAGTTAATGAGGTCATAAAATGTTTGTCTTGAATAAAAAAAGTTTAAGAGGGAAAGTTCCGGAACATTGAAATAGTGATTAGAACTCATGAAAATAGATTATTGGTAATAAAGAAAATATGAATTGAAATCAGTCAGTTATGTATGATGCAATTTAAACTTCAGAAAGAGTTGGAATAATGACGCAATAAATAAATAAATAAATAGGAGCAAATGAATAGAAAGGGTGGGGGTTATTGTTACCAGGGTAAAGAAAGATTTATTACTGTTTCTTTTTGTGTACATAGGTCTGGTTTTAGACGTTTGATTGCTAATGCTTCAGCAAATTTCAGAAGGTTGGAGGTTGATTGTTTATTAATCACCTTGAAGGACTTCAGTGTATCGACTTCGTGTCCTGTGTCAAGGATAATATTTGCTACACCATGATACATCTATTCATCCCTAATCACCCCCTTATGTATTATTATTATTAGAAGCTTTATTCAACATTATATTTTTGGTACAACATAGAATTCTCAGCATAAAGTATTTCAACAAGTTTCCTTTTCTTATACCTTGATCTATTGTGACGATAAATTTTGAATGATGACCGGTTAGATGTTAGGAGTTCGATAATCTACATTTGATTAATGTTCATTCGTTTCAATGCATATTTCCAGCCACCATGATGTCGCTGATTGTACCTTTTTGTATCACATACAGCAAAAGGTTGTAAACTTTTCAGAAACGCGCCTGAATAAATTGTGCGCACAATAGACATAATGATGTGCTAAAACAAACGACAAAACAGATAACTTGATGAAATATCTAGATCGGAGGAACAGGTAGCCCAGATATTCAAGCAGGCCGCCAATCCATAAATATGTCAATATCTGTAATATTGTTGAATTTTAAATATTTTAGGTTGTAAGCAGCTGATGAGAACCTAACGAAATAAAATGAATTCATATTATTCTGCACCAATCTTTGTTCTTGCTCTCTTTAAAGTAATAAGAAACTTTTCATGATGCGTTAAACTTTCAGATACCAAATTGATTCTTATATTAGGAGCAGAGAAAACATTTTAGGTTAAATTGAGAGTTTTTAGTTTATGTTATTAGGTTTTTGATTGAGATCATGAATCGATTGATGTTAGATCACCACTGAAAACCTGGAACTACCAGACGGTCGTTTCGTACTAGTATGGGACTTCTTAGCAGTGTGCATCCACGATCCCGCTCGTGAGATTCGGACCCAGGAACTATCGGTCTCGTGCGTGAACGCCTAACCTCTAAACCTATAGATTATGATATCAATCAAATGCTTAATAAGCTCTATGACCTCATACTGTTAATTTTATTACTTTGGTTATATGCACAAGAATCTTTCATCTTGTCATATGATAAAGAAATTATGTTAACTAAAATGATTTATAAAATACAATTTCAAATGCCACGAAACTTTCTACTCAAGGCTTCCTATTAATAATCATCAACCGTTATGCATCCCTACCCATATATTATTATTCTTAATATGAAAGAATGAAATTTTCCAGAGTATAATATATTCATTCTTCCTTGTCAGTAATACTTATCAGATATTTTAATGGATAGAATGTAAAAGATTTGATCTTTAACGAAGACAATAAGCAATAATCGTACTATATGGATTAAATCTAATTCAGTTGTACTATTTTGGGTGTATTCATCAATTTTCTGTAGATAACGTGAGAAATAGAGAGATAGAGGTAAAAGAAAAGAAAGAAGATACTCGTCGTTAGTTTTAAAACATAAAATGAAGTCTGTAAGCGATGACTACTTCATTATTCATTTCGGAAGTAAGTTCAATTTCATTAGATCAAATGATTTCTTTTTTTTATCTCATACTAATGTTCAGAAAGCGGAAAAAATGAAGCAGTAGAAAGGAGGTAACGATTGTTTATTGTTCACTAATAGTATTGAAATAAGATTCAATTATTTCTTATATATAAACTCAATTTATTACGTAACACATCAAAGTAATCGGTAAATACGATTCCTCATGAAACCAGGAAACAATATAAGTTATACGCTAGATATATGTAAATAGTCACTTGGAAAATATAAAGTTTATTCCCAATTAAATGTTACTTCTTATGAAGAAAAACAGATAAAAAAATTACCTACCATTGGTATAAGTGAGTCCATTAAACCAGGAGTATGAGAACGTTCTATCCATGCAGAAAAGAATAATGGTACACGTAAATTTAGTTGTACATTGATAAGAACATTGTCTACAATGAATAGAAACCATAGACAATAAATATATATCGATATTTATTGTGAAGATTGATACAATGTAAGTTAAAACTAGATAAAATTTACTATGATTCTGAACATAAGTCATTTAGACGATATTTGGCTTTATCTATTTATAACATAATAAATTGACTACATAGGTTTTAGCTTTTTAGTGGTCCGAAATCTGACTCCAGATCGATTGTATTGTAGTGAACAAGAACACGAGTAGGGACAATCGAATGTAATTGGACACCAAATTACAGAGTATCCCACTAAAATCTAAGAACCACATAGTAAATAGTTGATTTGCAAAATATCAATCCATAGTCTCAAACTTCACTCTTCCTCTTGCACATATCAATCCATTGTCTCAGATTTCACTGTTCATGGTTTTCATACCAATTGCGTTCGGTTCTCGTTCTTTCTTTCGCGATCTTCAACTGAGATACATTCTATGCCTGACCACCGTTATATACTACTTATATGGATATAAGTAACCCATACCACAGTATGATCATTATTCGTTCTGACTATTCTTGTCTATTATTATCGACTTAAATCGCATTATTGAATAACGGTGTGGTGTCAGTCATTATTTTAAGCCCATGTATCTTATTCTAGCTTTCGGACATTTCATTCTATTCATTCTACTTGAGTCATATTTTGACTTTGTCAATTATTCGCTTATCAGTCTTGACTGTTTTTATATGAGCGTATATGTGTGTACACTTCATATCCCATGACTGACTCATCACATGTCTGTAGTTTATTTTGTCTGCCTATAAATACTGAGTAACGCTTGACTAACATGGAGTTGACTTCCCAGCCATCTTCCCTGCGTATCATTTTACTTTGCTCTGTTTCATTCGCTTCATGTACAAAATATATGTATTCACAAGTCAATTCTCGTTATTCGACTTATTTAAATTCCGTTATTGACTAACGCGATTGAAGTCGACGGTGATATACGAGAATAGGCGATAGCAAACATCTATACGATCTAAATGGAGTCAGATCTACGGGCTACTAAAACGGATCTAAATAAGTCAACTACGAGAAAGAATTTCGGGTACGTACATTTTGTACAATCGTTGATCCAGACAAATAAGCAAAGAAGCAAAGCGAAGAGGAAAGAGCAAATCGAAATGGCGTGCAGTGGAGATGAAATGTGAGCCAACTCCATTTAATCAATCCTGAATCAATATTTACGGTCACACAAAAGTTACAGACATGTGATGAGTAGGATAAGATATGTACACACATATACGCTCATATAAAAACAGTCAGAGTTGATAACTGGATAATTAAAAAGGTCAAAACATGACTCAAAAAGAATGAATAAATTGGCCTTTCCAGAAGCTTCAATAAGTTATCAGGGCTTAACATAGTAACTGACACTAGAGCCTTTTTTTGTTCACCTGTTCATATGTATTTCTAAAGAAAACAAAAATGAAACCTTAAAATGTATAAAGATGACTTGAAATAATAGATAAAATTTGAAGCTGAATTGAAAGATTTTGATGTTGTTCGGTCTTCTGAGTTAAATAGTTTAATTAAGGAGCTTTTATTGTCGTATCGGAGTAGATTTGAAGTGTCATGTCTACAACCGATGTTAATCAGCAGTGAACAAAACTAATTATCACTCTAAATTATTTATCATTTAGAGTTTTATGTCTTGTTCCAGCACAATGCATTTCAAGCGTGGTTTGTTTAAATCAGAGTACTTAAATGTCAGTTCAAATTTACAATCCAAATGGTTGATTGACATATGTTTTGACAACTGAACAACAACTTCGCCAAGCAGTGTAATTCAACCATTTATTAATAATCAAACTTCTAAAGATTTAATCCAGTAATAATAAGAACAACCAATTTTCTACGTAGCACTTTTATGTCTTCTACAATAAGTTGACTGGTTTATGCGAAATGACACTAAGAATATATAACTACTGTCATTGTTTCTACTTCAAAAATGATATGATTTAAGTGGTAAGATTCAAAAAGTTTATTATTCCACGGGAAATAACAGACAAGCACTGAATTGACTTCATTGTTCATGTTACAGCAAACAACAATACTTAACAAGTGAAATTCACTATACAAATCAAATTCATATCAAGGATGTCAAAATTAACTAAGTATCACAAATAAGAACTATGTAAAGTAATTGTTTCTACGATCACAAATATCATTATACAACAGAATGAATTCAAAACTTTAAAGAATTTCTTAATGAATGAAACTCTTGCAAATCGGATTCTAAAAGGTGTGGGTTTAAAACGACAACAGATCTATTAATTGTACAGAAGGGACATAGATAATGGAATAGAATTATCGGGATGTCAAACTAATGATACATTTGCATTCAGTTTACTGCAGTTCAAAAGTATCAAAAGTACAATATCTCTTGAGGCTGATATTTTCACAACTTGTCAAAAACAATCTATAAACTATCCGAATTATTTATGGGGTCGTGAAACATTTTTACTCGTTCATTCGATTCAGTTTTTAGATGTTTGCTAAATCTTATAAGTATCGAGAGCAGACTCAGTTTATGGCTGGTAATAAGATAATTAACTGAGAAATGAGGAGATTTTATTGAATATGAAATTAAGTTGTAACACCAGCTATAATGGTGTTTTCTGGTTGCCTAATCCAGTTAAAAATAGATGTCATCTTTATTTGGGTGAAGCATCAAAATCAAATTATATTTGAAATAAAGGAAATCAAGAAATAAACGGCTTTAAAGAGATAATAATGGATTATTGATATTTAAATTCATGAGTCCATTAAATCTAGAGCACTATGGGAAACCTAGATGCATTAAACGACAATTTCGTCAAAGTATGAGACAACTCAGCACTGAGCATCCATGATCTCGCGGGTGAACAGTTAACCTCTAGACCACTGAGCCGGCATCCAGCAGTGTTAATGTTTAATTTCAACCAATTCACGATGTTGCACAACTGTACACCATTGTCTTCAGTGAGTAACTACCTCTGCAACAGATAAGGTACAATTCCACCGGCCACGGTCTCTCACTAGAACTTCAGGAAATATTTCTTGAAGCCAGCCACTAGTGAGCACATGATAATCATTATCAGAATACGCGTTCTTGTATAGTGTAATAATTTTTAATAGTTGATTTCATGAATTATTATTGATATATTAAGAATGAACGGAACGGAAATAAATATTTGATAATCTGTGGTTATTAGCTAATGGTAAATCCAATAGAACTATTTAAACCCATGAGAAGCTGTACATCTGTTCCACTCTGGTTACAAACGTCACAGCAATGAACATACAATCCTGTTGTGGCCAACCTTACGACCTACAACCTTACAACTACGATACTTTCCAACCATAGGTGAAAATTCCGATAATCCGCAGCTTAAATTACACTCTATCTATCTTACACTGAACAATCATAAACTAATGTTACTTCAGTGCCATTCAATAACAGGAAGACATTGTCATTTAATTAAGTATGCTCAATGATTAACGAATTTTCAAGAATAAATTTTAGTGTTATATATATATATATATATATAATTAGTTAGGAGCGGTGAAGATTTGTAGCTCAGGTGGATGATTTTAATGGAGTTTTGTTCTGCGAGTTGTATGATTTGATCGTGGAGCTTTCATTGCTCTTCTGAAAGACATTACCAGCACAAACTTTTATCTGTTGTTCTGATGATTTCGGTCCAGAAGAACGATAAAAGCTCCACGACTAAACCATCCAGCAAAGAGAACAAAACCTCACCAAAATAACTAGGGGTCGGCCAAACTAAGACGTGACATCAGTGTTTAAAGTCACTAACTTCTGGTCTGAACATGTTGGTAAATGTGGACTACGTGCTTGGGGTCCGTGTGATTATCGTAATCAATGGTTGGAGACTTTGAGTGACATGTCTCACAATCAATCACAATGGCTTCGATGTTCATCTTGTTGTGCTAATCGAGTGTGAAGGAGGGACCATTTATTTATTTGAACACATAGATATTGGTACATGGAGGCACCAGAGAAATATGCGTCACACAAACCTCAATTAATTTGTGTTAGGGCTGTGATACTGCCCGGGTGTCCAGACCGAACAGGTGGTTTTCTTAAGGGGCCACACCCGGAGGCTTCGGCCTGAAGGTCTGATCCACAAGGCAGTGGAGCATCGTAAGGAGATGCAGTCTCGTGGTAGCCGGTGACCAACGATTGGTTCATACGCCATTTGTTCCTTCAGGATCCTGGAGCCAGCCCATGTGCACTGTTGGTTTGGAATCCCGTTAAAACGCCGGACATTCGCTTTTCGTCCTCTTATTTTCGTAAACAACACGCCCGCCACAAGAAGGCGATGAGTAGGACTTCCCTGGCAGAGGCTGTATATACGTGGCCGTGTGAGAGCGTTTCGAGAGGGAGGGCAGACCCACCCCACTCTCGGCCGTACCAGGGTATTTGGGGGCATCAAGTATGGAAACTTGAACCGATGCATATATGTACCTGATCCTACGTTGTAGATATACTGATATATATATATATATAATACATGATTTGTAGTAGATGTAATCAAGTGTTTCACATGTATGTAAGCAAAACACTATTAACATGTTCCTATCAATGCTCAATCAATCATTACATCATAAAGAAATATAATTATGGGTAATAAAAACAAATAACATCGATAAAATAACAAACAACAATTTTTTCTCTAAAAAAACAAACTGATTAATTTGAATAACGAAACAAATTTTCTTTATTTTTTTATTCTCCTCATTTCATTTATGTTTTGTTTATTTATTGACTTCTCATCTAAATGTTTTTTTCTACGTATTTAATGAGTTTATGATGATGAGTTTATTGTTCCGTACGAAAACTAAAAATAAACTTTAAAAAAAGAAGACAAAATGAAGAATAACAAATAGTACGATGTCAAAGGTTTAGGTCATATTCATTTATGATGCATTTTGTTTAACAACAAAGTGTTGTGGCGATCATGAC